AAGATACCCTCTTCAATGGTAAGAAGGGAGACATCGAAGGTTCCACCACCAAGGTCAAAAATGAGGACGTTCTTCTCGCCAACACTGCCAGCTTTCTTGTCAAGACCGTAAGCAATGGCTGCAGCCGTAGGCTCATTGATGATACGCATGACATTGAGACCAGCGATAACGCCGGCATCCTTCGTGGCCTGGCGCTGAGAGTCGTTAAAGTAGGCAGGAACTGTGACAACAGCGTTCTTCACGGTTGATCCAAGGTAGGCCTCGGCAATCTCGCGCATCTTCATGAGGACCATGGATGAGATCTCCTCGGCTGCAAACTGCTTCTCCTCACCCTTATAGGAAACCATAATCATGGGCTTGTCACCAGGGCCAGCAATAACCTTGAAGGGCCACAACTTAATATCGCTCTGAACGGAAGCATCAGAGAATCTCCTTCCAATCAAACGCTTCGCATCTACAACAGGGAATTGAATTTTGAAATAAAAAACAGGAAATTTACATCTATAGAAAACAAGAGAAGTTAACCAATAAATCGGAGTGAAAAGATATCAGGAACACTCTTATCGACTAATTGAGTAACATAACCAAAAATATCAAACTAGAAACCCCTAAAAACATTATAAGCAATAGGATAAGGCCCGTTAAGAAATATACCTTACAAGAGTTAGCAAAAGACATTCACGTCCGAAAACGAAATTTGAGACCTAAGTACCTAACAATTCTGATCTACAAGCAAAATAATACACATAAATTCAAAAGGGCATTCACAGCGGAAAACGAAATTCGAGGCCTAACAATTCAGATCTAAAAGCCAAAAACGTACAAAGAAGTCCAAAAATAGGAATTCTAAATTATCCCATTAAATACATTTCATGTTCAATACATGATAAGCGTAAGTGCGTGCGACGGGATTCTCTGCAAGCAAAAACTCCGCATACACTGCGAAAGCATGAGAATCCAGCCGCACATTAGGAAGATTTCCGGATTAATTTAACACACATGTACAGAAGATATTCCCAATATGCGGCTGGATACTATGTTTGCAGAGTTTTTTTGCATGCAGGAGATCCGGGCTCGAAGTGTCTCCAGTGCTCGACGAAAACAACAACGTGAATCCAAAGTATATAGGGATTAAGGAACAGGTTGAACATTCTCCAATCACGCAAGCAGAGCCTAAAGATATGCATTTTAAGCTGCATAGAGATTGAAAACGTTGCGGCATTTTAGCTCTAGAAAATTAGATATGAGAAAGTTCGGGACCTACCGAATACAGTGTTAATAGGGTTCATGGCCACCTGATTCTTCGCCGCATCTCCGATCAAACGCTCGGTATCGGTAAATGCAACATACGAGGGGGTTGTCCTATTCCCTTGATCGTTGGCAATGATCTCGACACGATCGTGTTGCCAGACCCCGACACATGAGTACGTCGTTCCAAGATCGATTCCGATCGCTGGACCTTCACCTTTTCCGGCCATTTTCCGGGCTTGGGTGGATCAATGAATCACAGAAGAGGGAAAAGAAAAAGGCACAATGGACGAGTGTGAAGCCGAAAGAGATTATGAAAGAATCACTTGTGCTATGGTTTACAAATTGTTTGGAGATACCAAAACTGTACCTTATATACTTCGCGCTTGGTTTACAGAACATTCGAATCATAGCTTTCCAACCGTCCGATCAAAGGCGACGAACGGGTTAAGAAACTTCCATACTTCGGCGGAAAACCTGATATTTCAGTTCCTATAGTTGTTTTGGAGAATTTTCTCTCCCATCGCGGGAAACCACGTGCCACTTTTAATAGTATGTTATGAAACTTCAAAAATTAAATCTAAACCGTCCATCAAGATTTTTAAGAATATCTATTCATTTAGATTCTAATTTTCCGTCAGTTGATTGGGCTGGGCTCGCGGAGACGTAAGGCCGACTATGCATCTGCAAAGCACCATAAACAATAAAAGTCGTCTTCACACAAGTGGGAACATGCGAACCAGAAGAATTTCACACGAAGCTACGATCCCGATAAAAACGCCCCACATAAACATGCGAGACGTTTCCAATTCACGGTTGGACTGTGCTGTAACTTGTAAGACGTTTTTGGGACGCTTTCTGTACGGGTAAATGTGAATTCCGGTTACTATGGCCTGGGTCCACCAACCGCCCAATATTTGTGGATCCAATAAGAACCAGTCCAATTTGAATCCGTATGTTGATGTACTGCGTAGTGGTATCTAATTAATAAATGTTATAATTATTTATTATTTTTTGGATTTTGCAAATAAATAAAATATAAATAAAAAAATATAAACATAACCAAATACATTCCATTTATGTTTATTGAATAAAGGTTTGTATTTTATTTGTTTCTAAAACAGAAAAACACAATAATTGCAGCCTTTTATAACAACTAGATGCTACTTCAGCATAATACTGAATAAATGCCGGCCGTTTGTGGAAGTTTCAAAAAACACAATAACACCTATGTGGCATTATCAAAATAAACATTTAGGAATAAACATAACAAAACCAAACACCCTCATACTAAAACTAGACTAACACAACGAATCCAGTTGGCGATGTTACAAAAACCACTCGGAATCTCCTGTCCACATATTGTTTCCACATCCATCCATTCCCACACAATCCTAAATTCCTAATTCCGTATTGAGAACATCTTAATCAGTTAATTATGGTGGTATTATTTACCAAAAAATACGGTATTCGATTCACACTTCAATTTTTTGGTAAATTACAAAAACCCCTTGTTAGAGGGTCAGTCACAAATAACCCTTGTATTTTTTATTTGTAGCAAAACCCCGTATTTATCACTTATAGAAAAAACCCACTTGAATTTTTAGTTGACGAAGATTGTAAATGCAGTTGACAAAAGGTGTTAAATGATCAAAATATGTTTTCGGTAATTCAAGGGGTGTGAACTGAAATTTTCAAAATCATAAAAAAAAAAAGGAAAAAGGACAAAGGACAAAGCCATTCCCCTTTTATATTCTTTGTCCATTGTCAATTTTTCTCATAAACCCTGACCTACATAAATATAATGCGAGGGAACAATTTGACAACAAGTAACCATGATATCTCCACTACATGTATTTCAAAAAGAAAATGTGACTTGGGAGGTTTAAGCCGTAGTAAACTATTTTACAAATTGAAGAATTAATAATCTATCCATCACATTTAATTATAATTTGTATAATATATTTATAGTGTTTGTGGGGATCCGTGCGATACATGGGATTTATTAAGCGAAAGCTAAATAATAAAAATAGTTATTTATTAAAATACCTTTTATAGTTTTATGGATTTACTAAAATCTATCCTATAGTTAAAATTTTACTAAAACACCACTTATAATTTGCAAGGGAATTAATCAATCTTCCGTTAGATAATAGTGGAAATGACAGTATTGATCTTAATGTTCATTTAAATAAATTAAATCAAAAAATTTAAAAATAAAAACTATCATTTTTGCGATTTATAAGGCACGAACAACCACTCTATTGGTTATATTTGGTTAATTTTATTTTCTGTACAAAAAAAAAAGTTGATAAGGGTATTTTTAGAATAAAAAATTATAGGCCTAATGGCAAAACAAACACTCCTTAATGAAATGTTGATTAAGTAAATAAGTTGTAAAATGTATGAGATGTTTTAATAAAATGAAATCTATAAGGTAGGTTTAAGTAAATATATAAAACTATAAGATGTGTTCTAGTAAATGACCCTAATAGAATCATATAAGAGTATACAATTATTTTATATTTTTTAACTTTTTAAATAATTAATAATAATTCATATTTTATATACTACTTTTAATAAATTTTTTATAATATAAAAATAACATTAATTCAGTTAGGTTTATTCATCAAATTGATGAAATCGACCAACCCGATCAACTTGACCTAAGTTGGTCAGTTCTCTAGTATTTTAGGTCGGCTTTGGTTCAAAAACTTCCCAATTTGACCAAGTTGGGTTAATTTCACTTTGGCCATTTGTAAACTAACAAAATCGAATGACCTAACCATGGATATATATATATATATATTATATTTTGAATATAATTTTAAACATGGAAAAGTGGGAAATTTTCCATATTTCTTAGTCTAAAATGTTTTATATCATAAATCTAATTTTTAAATTTATTTTTTAATAATTGCACTATAATTTTTAAAATTAAATTTATTTTTTAAATTTAAATCTCTTGAACCGACTAACCAAACCAAAAAATCAACCCAAACGATACAACTTGAGTGGGTTAGTTTTTACAAAAGGTCAATCACTTTTAGTTGACCAAGTCAATTTGGTTGGCCAAATAGTCTACAACCGAACCGAACCAGCTCATGAACACTCATAATTTCAGCTAAATTAATAGTCACATCTCTGATAAACAACAATAGTTTAATCTCCAATAATTACTGAAAATTTATAGCAAAAATACACAATTATTAAAAATATATTGATAATGAAAAAATACAATAAGTACTAAAAATATATTAACTTAGTCAATAAATAGTATAATCTCAAATAATAGTTTAATCTCTAATACATATTAATCAATAAATTATAAAACAAATACAATAAATTAAATATCAAATTTAATAATAGTAGTTTAATCTCCAATTATTATTGATATTTTTTCGTTAAATAACAATACAAAATAAATTCATAAATAATCTTTGAAAACACATTTATCACAAAAATATAATAAATAATAAATGAAATACAATAAATATTAATTTTAGTGTATATAATTGTATAATAAATACAGAATAAGAGTTTAAAATTATTATTAATAAATATTTTTTTTGAAAGTTATTTTCTCGATTTATTACTTGATATAAGTGAAATTAGTTATTTACAATATTATGTAAAAATATTAAATTATTATTAATTTCAATATTATATTATAATTATTTTTTTGCTTTAAATAATTTTTTTTTTAAATTTATTACATAATTTCGTTATTTTAAATATCTAAAATCTAGTTATGATAAATATCTAGTTGTTTAAATATTTAAATAATCTATAACATATTTAAAATTTTTTGTTATTTGAATTTTATTTATTTAAAGCTATTACATATTATTAAATATTTGAAAAACATTTAAATTTATGATCTGGAAAAACATAATTTAAATTGTTAGTACATAATTTCGTGTTATATTTTGTAAAAATATAAAGTTATTTATTAGATAATTTTGTTATTTTAACTATTTAAAATATAGTTATGATAAGTATTTAGTTATGTAAATATTTAAATAAACTATAAAATATTTAAATTTGTTGCTATTTGAATTTTATTTATTTAATGCTATTACATATTATTAAATATTTGAAAAACATTTAAATTGATAATCCAAAAAAACATGATTTAAATTGTTAGTACATAATTTCGTGATATATTTTGTAAGAATATAAAATTATTTTTTGTGTTTTTAATAAATATTTTAATATTATTATATAATTTTGTTGGAATATTTAAGTAGTTCTTAAATTTTTAAATCCAAACTTTCCTTAGATAGATATAGATAAAAAGTAGGGGAGAGGATAAATAGGAATTAGAGATAATTTATGAGATACACTATCTACTAAATTAGAGATAGTTTAGGAGATAAATATGAATTAGAGATTGATGTTGCGCAATCTGGCTACTCCTAGCTGGTGGTGGCTTAGCTTCCATTAGACAACAGATGTGGAGAATCTGTGCAGAAAGAATCAGAGAACCCGGGGGTGCTTACTCGGCGAGGTCGCTCCAATGCTTAAGTCAGTATGCGCGAGTTAAGAATAATTAGAGAGCAAGAGATCTAGTAACCAGTAAAATGCGCGTACCTTGGGCCCCGGGAAGGAGGCCTTTATATAATGGAGTCCTCGCTGGCTTTACAAAGCAGTTCCGAGATCTTTGCCATGATAGAATTTATTTCCGTGTTATCTGGAGATAACGTTATCAGTTGATAAGGCTAATCACTTCCGCCCGGATCGAACAGGGAGAAAATGCTTAGCTGTTACGAGGCGTGATCCCTCGGGATTCGGGGACCGATGGAGTGACATTCGGGATTGTATCGAGGGCAGATTGGTATACCCGAGCTGGTTTCTATCTTGAACTGATGTTCCCGAGCTAAGGCTCGTACACCTCGAACTGAACTATGTACTGGTGTCGTGACCTGGTACCGAGGTGCCCTTAGCTCGGGGTGATCTTAGCTTGAAGAATTTTAGTTCAAGGTAGTGGAGTATTACTTTGTAGCGAGCTGGCTATACCGAGTTGTCACCTATGTCGAGTCACGTCCACGCGTCCCCTTATTACGAGGTTGGGCCAAATCACCCTCCATCAGAGATAATTCTGGAGAAAGTGGGAGAGGTAGTTTAGGATAAATTTTAAGAGAAGAGATTATTTAGGTTATTGGGAAAGTGCATCTCATTGATTGTTTCAAAAATGACATGGAATAAAAAATGAGAAAATTTCTTGATCACTTCGTTTGAATATATATAGATGTGTCATATGGTATATATATATAGATAGATATGTTATATTATCATGGTTCAAGCTC